TATTAATATGAGGAAGGGATTAAGACATCTATGGATCCTACGACCGTAAGCTGGTTTAGCTACCCAGGCTTTAGCTCTCTGTAGCTTGATGCCGCCAGGCCACACACACGTAAAACATAGATGGCCGTCGGGCATGCATTCCGTTGTTGGCAAGTGCAGAAGATATAGTTCTTACGATGCCAGTGGTGCTTCCTGCTTGAGCCAGGAGCGACAGACCTCGCGTACCGCAATGCGGTTTTGGCTCAAGACGAATCTCACCTGCATGGTAAAAAAGGTCCCCTGTAACGACCTTAGTGTTGTTGGCAGCTTCACGGCCCCCGCCTGGGGCCTGACTGTCGCACTCGTTTTGGTGGCTTTCGTGCCAGCGAAGTCTTGCGGAACGCAGACTTTTCCCAGCGGAGATGGGGAGTGACTTGTGTTGACACTCCTCTCCATCTCCAAGTCAAAAAGAGAACTGATAGGGAAGCGTGTATGCCGCCATGAGGCTTCACGTCGACATTTTGGATTTCTTGGCTCCAGCAATCACAGCTCGGCTTGCCCCGTCCGATCACTTCCATGTACTGTGTAATCTCTTCAGTCTTATCACTTTTGGTACAGTTGTTGTGGATCCAAGTGGCATAGTCAAGAATGGCGTTTGCTTGCTTTTAAGAATCATAGCCTAGCACAAGCCCCCTAGTCCCATGTGGTCAGGTTTGACCCGCTTGGGAACGCGTGTCAGTCATAGCATTGTGTGGGGATTCGGAGGCGCAGGCTCAGCGAGGATGGCAACCCCTTAGGGCTGAAGCGAAATCTTTGAGGACATGGTCGGAGATGGCCGCGGCAAGACAACAGATGCACCTGTTGCTATGGAACAGATTAGATGAGCTGGCAGGCATGCGCCAACGGATAACAAACATTGTGCTCGCACTTCCTGGCTCTCCTGGAGCGCGAAATGCATGACACGCAAGCGGACGATGGCTTTTGCGCGCTTCAGTGCAAAACATGATCCAGAAGTTTGGTCGAATTTTGATGGCGCGTAGCCCGAAGTTTGACCGAAGTTTGATCGGCGTTTGGTTAGACAAACCTGCTCGATTTGTCTGATCAGGTACTTCTTTACCTATTTTAGACATTCTTGGTCGATCACATATCTTGGTCGATCACATATCTTTATTTAGACAAGTTGTTTCAACAATTGCCAATTTAGGCACAAACAGGGGCACATTTGTGTTTATACAAGACAGAGCATTCTTCGTCGCGTAGACAAATCTCACACATGAGTCTTTTTAGACAAATTTTTCTAAATAGACAACATTTCTTTGATCCAATCCCGTGTATTGGGGAAATTTGGCAACCGCACCCAGTCGCTGCATAGTTGGACTCGGACGACCAAGCAAGAGAGGAGCTCAGCCACGGAGGACTGCAGCGCCAGTCACTCCAGTATTGCCTCCAATGGCCACTTTTGCTTCCGCGAAGTACGACGTGAATCAAGATCGGCCGATGACCGCCCCGATTCGTGCTGTGGTAGTTGAATGCTTTGCGGCGCCGTTGCCAAAGCGAAAGCTACTGCTGAGCTGCCCTGAAGCATAGTCTCCATTTGGGCCAATGTCTCTTCTCCGATAAGGGTCTTGCACATCCTGTGTCGATGACGGTCTTGCCTGGAGACCCACCGAGGAGGCGGCCATCACCTCCTTGGCCAACGAAAAATGCCGCACTCTGGACGCCCTCCTCAGGGTCTTCACATAGAGCATCTCGTTGTTCTGTGGCTTGCTACTACCGCGTGCTCCTCCGCTGGCATGTGTTGCCAATAGCTAGCTAGCAGAATCCGTCTTGGCGCGGCAATCTCGCGCCCAATGTCTCAGGCGATGGCACTTTCGGCATCTGGTCCGATTCTTGAGTTCTACGACCTTAATTCGAAAACTGCATCTGGTTGTCGGTCGTGCCAAACTGATGGCTCTGGCTCAGCCGCTTGATTTCGGCGCGGCGCTCTTTCCAAGACATTCCAAAAGTACAGCTTCAGCCTCGAAGAGATGATCCTTTGCATTGTCCATGTCGAGGTGGTGGCATATTGACGTGACCGATATGTGCCGGCGACCCACTACATGACCACTCTCTCATAACAGTACAACGTTCCCAAAAAAATTGCAAAATCAAAGTCTATGCCACCTGCCCACTCAGATCGCGAAGCGATCTCGCGAACAAGGCTCTAGGGCTGCAGAAGCACCGGCCGCCAAGCGAGCCCGTGGAGTAGCAAGGGGCTGTGGGGCGGGATGGCCCTGCAAGGAGGAGCCTGCTGCCATGGAGACCTTGACAACTTCGCTGGCCGCCGCCGCCCAGTGAAGCGACCCAGTTTGGTGTACACTTCCCGTGCAGGAGGCCAACTTATCATCTGAGGGCGGATGTTCCTTGAAACTCCTTTGCAGGTGTGCTGCATGCATGGCATGAATCCCCAAACCTGATAGGTAGGCTCCACAAACCCGAAAGCAGACACATGACCATACATGGCAAAGATAATAACACCCCATGCGCAACACCAATCACGAAACTTAGGTCCGGGGTCATCTTCTCTCCTCTCTGTTTTCCTCTCTCCTCTCTCTTCTCTCCTCTCCCTTCTCTCCTCTCCCCTCTCTCCTCTCTCCTCTCCCCTCTCTCCTCTCTCGCATCCCCTCTCCCCTCTACCTTTTCTTCTCTCTCCTCTGTCCTTCTCTTCTCTCTCCTCTCTCCTCTCCTCTCTCTCGCCTCTCTACTCTTCTCTCTCTTCCCTCCTCTCTCTCTTCTCTCTCTTCTCTCATCTCCTCTCCTCTCCTCACTCTTCTCTCCTTTCTCCTCTTCTCTCTCCTCCTCTCTCCTCTTTCCTCTTCTCTCCCCTCTTTCCTCCGACCTCTCTCCTCTCCTCTCTCTCGTCTCCCCTCTCATCTTTCTCTCTCCTCTCCTCTCTATCCTCTCTTCTCCTCTCTCCTCTCCTGTCTCCTCTCTCCTCTTCTCTCTTCTCTCCTCTCCTCTTTCCAGAGGCAAGTCCAAAAGTGACGACAATTCGGCATTTCGCGACCTCCCCGATTCCCGTGCCTGTTGACACTTTTTAGACGCGAAGACCAAACGCGAGTCCAAAAGTGCCGACAGATCTGCGTTTCGTGACGAGGACCCCCAGGATCCTTGTGTTTGTTGACACTTCTGAGATGCGAGGACCAATGCAAGGCCAAAAGTGACGACAATTCTGCATTTCGCGACCAGGACCTCCTCGATCCCCGTGACTGTTGACACTTTTGAGACGCTAGGACCAAACGCCAGGCCAAAAGTGACGACAGGGACCGGGACACCCCTGATCCCTGTGATTGTTGACACTTTGGTAACGCGAAGACCAAGCGCAAGCCCAAAAGTGACGACAGTTCTGCGTTTCGCGACGAGGACCCCCCCCGATCCCCGTAGCTGTTGACACGTTTGAAACGCGAAAGTCCAAAAGTGCGTTTCGCGACCATTTGGATGGCCAAGCGTGCGCGGCACTCGCGAACGATTGCAAACGCGTTGCGGACGCTTGGGAACACAAACGCAACAACTTTTGGTCGCCTCCTGGACCCCTGGACCCCAAGCTTAAAACGGGAACCCTTCAGCGGAAAAAGGGAGGGGGTGTGACCATGCGGGGTTCAGCTCCTGAAATTGAACTTGGCCGAAGACTCCTGGGGCCTCTCGTTCAAGGACGAATGTTCGTTGCCAACGATTAGTATTAACGCTACCGCGCTCCGCCTCGGCCGGCTCGAGCAGCGGTCGGCCGCGGAGGAGGACAGACAGCATGCAGAAGTCGTGACAGGGCAGCTGTGAGAGTCTAGGGAAGAAAGGTAGAAAGAAGCGAAGAAGCCGGCAAGAAGTTGGACAGGGGGAGGAGGGGTCAGGGAAAGGGCAGGGCGGGGGGCGGGGGGGCTATGCCTGACGTTTTCTGGACTGGGAGGGAGGAACGGGGGGTGGGTAGAGTATTGCTCCCCCACACTCCAAAGGCCAAGGGCCTCAGCGGCTTATAGCGGATTAGAGGGCCCAGCGCAAGCATTTAGTGTCCTTCAAATAAGTGTTCAGTAGGCTCCCGTGGAAGTGTTTAGTGTCCCAAATAATTCAGATGTCGGCCCCAGGATGCCTGCTCAATACCCCCAGATGAATGTTTAGCAGGCCCAGGATACTTGCTCTTAGTAGGCCCCAGGAAAAGTGATTGGCATGCCCAGGACGGATAGGTGTTTGGTAGGCTGAGCATGCATGCCCCCACCTAGTGTATAGTAGGCTCAAGAGTAAGTTTAAGATTGCGCCAAATAAATACCTGTCAAAGAGTCGCCAACAAAGCCTGACGTACATGGCCGAAAGAGAGCGGGTCATTTACTAGTAAAGGCAACCCCTAGCTCAGATTCGTACTATGTCGTATCAGTATGCTATTTCAAAGCAGGCGTGTGGCGAGGCATGTGAAGCGCTGGCTGCTGCAATTGGCGAAGGAAACCTGCAGCAAGTTGACGGGTTGATTACGGCACTCAAGTTGATGATGCCACCTTCCAGCGGTGCAGAGCAAGCAGTGGGGCCTCCCCGGGATGATTTCATTCTCAGGCCTGGCTCGCTTGGCGATACGGCAGCGTTGCGTTCCTGTGCGCGTGATGCTGTGTAGATGGCAGGCCTGAAGTCCTGCAGTGGTCTGAGCAGGACTTCCTCGGCGGGCTGGAGGCCAGACACTGCCCCAAACAAGCAGTACCCTGATGGCTGTTGTTTGGGCTTCGTACGTCGTTGTACGGTGTGCGGTTCTCAGCTTTTCTTTCCCCGAAGCCATTTGGACTCACCCTGAAAGAAACCCCGAACCTTAAAAACTATGAGCCCAAAATCCTGGAGGGAGTAAGATAAACCTGCAAGAAACCCGAAAACCTAAAAGGAGTAAACCGAGCCCTGAAGGAGCGAAGCCCTAGATAACCACGAAAGAAACCCTAAACCCTAATAAACCTCAAACCCGACCCTGAACCCTCAAAGAAGCAAGATAGACTCTAAACCTTAAAAGGAGCAGGACAAGTCTGAAAGAAGCCCCGAACCCTAAAAGGAGTAAGCCGAGCCCTAAACCCTGAAGGGAGCAACATAACTGAAAGAAACCCCCTAAACCCCTAGCCCTAAACCTTTAAGCCGAAAACCCAAACCATAAACCTTAAACGCGAAACTGAAACTCTGGAAATGGCTACAGATTTCCGCTCACTAGCACACCAAAAGTCAGGAAAACCCCAGGGTTAAGGGGGCACCTGAGTCAGGACACTGCTGAGCAAAACATTTAAGTCCGCTTGCACGATGTCAGCTTTTGCTTCAGACCTGATGCAGCCGGTTGTTGTGAACCTGGAAGATGAGGATGATGAATTCATGAGGATTGCAAAGGAAAGAGAGAGAGAGCGCGGGGAGGGGAGATAACTGGAGTTGAGATTCAAGAGAAACAAAAATTGGAGTCTTCCTCTGGTGCTACTGTTCCTGCGTCATGCCCTGAACACAGCGAGGGCGCAGATGACAACTGGCAACGGAGGTTGTTGTTAAAGTTCTCCAGTCAAGTGTTCAGGGTATTGATCAAGTCGATCCCAGCTACAGCCAAAGTGCGTTCAGAAAGGGCGTTTCAATTGTTTAAAGAGAGACTTACCGCAAACCGGACGAGGAAGCAGCTTCTGTATGCCACATCATGCCACTGGAGGAGAACATGCGGATCGTACAGGAACGTGAGGCCAAGTTTGCGCGGCTGATGGCATCATATCCACAGGTGGGTATGATGACTCTGTGTGTTTTTCGATGTGGTAGGCTTGATGGCACTTAGCGAAGGCCCTTTAGAGGTGTGTGTGTGTGTGTGGGACCTCCGAAATTCCAAGGAACTAAGGTTTTGACTGTGTTTTTTAGGAGTGCAGGGGGATGCTGGGGATTTCTGCAGTCAGCATCCAACGAAGACACTGCAGATTTCCTGTGATATGTGGAAGGGACGCCTTCTACACGTACCTGCATGGCCGCCCAAATCCTTACCCCTAACAGCTGTTGTTTCCGTATTGGCCAATCTGTGATGCAAGTGAGTGCGCAAGGGTTGCAATGAGCCTGGAGCTTCCTCAGAGCAGAGATTTTCTTTTCGTTCAAACATTTACTACACGTCAATTATCAGATTGGTGTTTTTGGTGCAGCAACTTGGGCCTTGTTCATTTTCATCTAGATTCACAACAGGTTGAGTCCCCCAGA